AAAAAAAGAAAAACAAAGAGCTATACAAAAATTAGCTTCAAAGAAAAAATCAACGTTTCTTTTTCTTCTAGAAACAAAATTTGAGATTTTACCAAGTTCTTTTTTAAGGAGAAGTGGGTTGAATAAGCTATAAGGGTTCGTTGTGTTACCAGCAGTAGGTTCTTCAGGAGGCATTTTAAGTTGTTGGGATGATAGTTGTTTTGAGCTAGAAGATCAATATATCTATAGGAGATTTATTGTTGTTCTTGGGAAGTTCAAATCCAACCAATTTAGGTGTGGATTCATAACTGTTTATGGACCGTCTGTGGAAGAAGAAAATGTTGTTTTCTTTAAAGAACTGGGAATGTTTTTAAATGGGTGTAGTCTGCCTTTATGTGTGGGAGGAGATTTCAATGCCTACTTAATAGAGGAGGAAAATGAAGGTAGAACACAAAAATAGAAATTCCATGGAAATTTTCACTCTCTTTATTCAGCAAACGGGGCTAATTGATTTACCTTTAATTGGGGGAAATTTTAGTTGGAATAGCAATCGGGATTTTCCTACAGTGGTTAGGTTGGACAAGTTTCTGGTGAATGTTAATTTCTTTTCTACGTTTTCTGATATCACCCAATCGCTACTGCCAAAGTCAATTTCTGATCATAATGCTATTATTATGGAGAGTGGGGAAGATAATTGGGGTAAGAGGCCTTTTAGGCTGTTTAGCTACTTAATGTCTGAGGATGGCTTTGAGGAGAAGGTTGTAGAGTCTATCAAGGAGTTCAAGAAGGTCAAGAAAAGAGCAGGAATTTTTTAGCATTCTTAGGAATACAAAGGTTGATATTAAGACTTGGTCTGGGAGTAGGAATCAGTTTCCTCGTGAACATATTTCTATTATTGAAGACAAGATTCATCAGATAGAAAATAGTATTTAGCTAAATCAATTTTCAAATGATGCCAATACAGCAGAGTTGAGGTTATTGAGGAATGAACTTTGTAGACTCTACAGAATTGAAGAGCAAATTTGGTTCCAAAATTCAAGAGAGAAGTGGGTTAAAGATGGTGACCGGAATTCTAAATTTTTTGACACTTGTGATTCCATTCGGAGGAGGATGAACACTCTAAATGCTATTAATGTTGAAGGTGAAATTAATTATCAGGGATCCTGTTCTGATTAAGGCTACTGTCATAGAGCATTTTTTCAAAGCTTTTAACTGCCGTACTACTTTGGAAGTGGAGGATATTAAGTTAAACTTCTCAAGAATTTCAGTGGAGCAGAGTCTTATGTTAGAAAAGGAGCTTACAAAAGATGAAATATGGGAAACCTTGAATTCATTTGATAGTAACAAAGCTCCGGGACCGGATAGGCTGAATATGGGTTTTTTAAAAAAATTTAGTCTTCTTTGAAAGGTGATATTCTGAATTTTTTTCATAATTTTTCCTTAGGAAAAGATTGGGAGCATGACATTAATCATTCTTTCATAACTCACATTTCAAAGGGCTCTAATATTGGGGGTTTAGATGATTTCAGACCTATTAGTCTAGTAGGTGAGATGTATAAATTCTTTCCAAGTGTCTTGTGAGAAGGTTGAGATGTTGCATTGATGATATTATAAGTGATTCACAATTTGCTTTCATTACGGGTAGACAAATTTTGGACTGCTCTTTTATTGCTAATGAAGGAATTGACTTGTGGAGGAAGAAAGGTTTGAAGGGTTACGTGTTGAAGGTGGACTTCAAGAAGGCCTACGATATGGTATATTGGGATATTCTCTTTAAAATTATGGCTAAAATGGGGTTCGGATCAAAATGGTGTTGTTGGATTCGGAAATGTGCTACAACTACTTTGGTCTCAGTGTTAGTTAATGGGGTTCCTACTGATGAATTTCCAACTGCTAGAGGTCTTAGACAGTGATGCTCCTTGTCCCCCTTGCTGTTCAATTTCGTTGGTGAGCTACTTCATTTACTACTTCTTAAAACAGTATCTTCCGGTCTGTTCAACGGCTTAGTTGTTGGCAAAGATGAGACCTCTATTAATTTGTCTCATCTACAATTCACATATGATCTGATCATCTTTTGTACTGCATCGAAGACACAAGTTCTGAATGTTAAGAGGGTTCTACGGGTTTTCGAATTAATATCAGGCCTGAAATTGAATCTCACTAAGAGTATATGGTATCAATATTAGTGAGGAAGATGTAATGTAGTGGGCTAATACTATTTGTTGTGCAGTGGGTCATTTCCCTTCGGAATATTTGGGATTACCACTAAGTGCTAAGAGGAATTCTATAACGCTGTGGGATTCGGTAGTGCAGAAGTTCTACAAGTAGTTAGCTGGTTGGAAGGCGAGGACTCTGTCAATAGCAGGGAGATTAGTCTTATTGAAGGTTGTTTTATGCTCATTACCCACTTATTACATGTCCCTGTTTAAAATCCCTTCTTCCGTGATTGTTAAACTTAATTCCATCATGGCCAGATTTTTATGGGGTGGAGGTCAAAAAAATTCATTGGGTAAACCGGTCGACAGTGTTCTTTGCAAAAAGTGCTGGTGGTCTTGGTGTTTTAGATCTTAATTATTTGAATAGAGCTCTCCTAGGGAAGTGGTCTTGGAGGTTTGCGAATGAAAGGGAGACAGTGTGGAAAAAGGTAATATGCAGTAAGTATAATATGGACCCTAGGTTGCTAATTTTTAAGGAAAAACTTCCTGCACATACTTCTTGGATTTGGAAATCGGTAGTCTAAAATCATTTCAAAGAGGATCAGTTTGGAGCTAAATGTCGAAGTCTGTTTGAAGTTCGTGTGGGCAATGGAGACAAAATCAGTTTTTGGTTTGATAACTGGGTAATTGATTCCCCCCTTAAAGTGGTTTTCCCGAGATTGTTTGTTTTATCCTTAAACAAAAATGGGAAGCTCAATGAGTTTGGAGAGTTTCGGTCTACAGTTTGGTCTTGGCATGTTCAAATGAGAAGGAATTTGAGTGACTGGGAAATAGTTCAGTACTGTGATTTAATGGCTTTAATTCATAATATAACTTTGTCCCATGAGTTGACAGATGGGCTGGTTTGGAGAGGGAATGGGGATGGGATATATTTTGTTAATTCTAGTGTTAAGTCTTGCTGTCCTGTTTCGACAGTAGATTCCTTTTGGATGAGATACATTTGGAGAGGCTTGGTGCCTCATAGAGTGGAGGTCTTTATGTGGCAGGTGGTGTATCAAAGATTGCTAGTCAGACAAGAGCTACAAAGGAGAGGAATTTCAGCTATTTTAGATGTGACTTGTCTATTATGTAAAAAGGAGGTTGAATCTTCATCACATCTATTTTTTACTTGCTTTATGGCATGGACCCTATGGAATAAATTTTTGAAATTTTGGGGAGTATATTCGATTTTGTAGGCCAATGCTCAAAATTTTATGTTAGCTTGGGAACATATGGTTCCTAACTCTAAAATTTGGTCCTTTATTCCGGGTGTGGTGCTATGGACTATCTGGAAATTTAGGAATGACACTGTGTTTGATGGGGGAACGTTAGACCATATTGATTTGTTTTTTTATGACAAGATGTAGGTTGACTACTTGGTTCTTAGCTAATTTCAAGGAGGTCTCTATTGTAAAGGACTCTCTCATTACTGATCCATCTCTTGGGGATTGTTGCTCTAATTCAAGGTGTTCTATCATTGAAATTCTGTCTTGGTCTCCTCCTCCAAAGGGCTTTATTAAATTAAATGTGGATGCAGCAGTGAATGGAGATTGGAGGAAAAGTGGTGTTGGGGGAATTTTTAGAGTTGAGGATGGCTCGGTGATGGGTTCTTTCCAAGAGGCTGCTGGTCCAAGTCCTCCTTTGTTAATTGAGCTTATGGCAGTAAAGAGGGGCTTAACTTTCTTTGATTCGATTCATCAGCGGTTTAAGGAATGATTAATTATGGAAACAGATAGTAAACTAGCAGTGGAGTGGGTCAAGAATTATGATCGCTGTCCCTGTGTCTACTTAAACTTAGTGAAAGATATTGTTACTAAGTTAAGGGACTTGAATGGTATTATTAGATGGGTTGCTAGGTCAGCCAATGTTAACGCTGATAGTTTAGCTAAGGCTGGTATTGGCTAGTTTACTGTTGGGATTAGCTAATTTAGTCTTTGGGTTGGTTATTGTAAAGGAAGTGGTTATGTTTGTTTTTAAACATTATGTATATTTTGGTTATTAATGAATCCTAAGGCACTCTTTTCCTCCTTCCGTTGATTAAGGAGCACCTTGTGCTTCATTAATCATGAAGGGGTTTTTTAGCGAGGCCTACTTTCCTATAAAAAAACTTGCAATTCAGTTGGATACTCTCTGGAATTATGATATTCACAGGATTCATCTGCCTAAATTTTGCTGGAAAATGCACCCGAGACCACAATCAACAAAATACAAGCAACTTCAAATTAGAGGCAGCAATGTTTATATAACTATGGATAGCTTCAAGCAAGCTGATCCCTAGGTGTTTAGCTTTGTTTGATAAACATGTAAGTGTATGATGGACAGCAGTGGTTGATATTGAACATAAACACTTCTGAATAAATGTAATGTGTTGTAGATGTATTATAAATACGATATCCCTCACAGTAGCCACATAAAACACCAATTAAACAAAACATATAAAACATGAAATTTCCATTCCAGAAGCCATATAAAACATGTTGCTAACTTGCAGTGTTTAGACAAAGCAATCAGTTGCAGTTAGAAATGATAAGGAACTAGAGAAATTTGTCAAAACCATGATGGTGTTAGGTGCTATTACATTGGAACCACTTTCTCAATGTCATCAGCCTCAACAAAACATTTACATCCACCAAAACATTGCCACTTCAATCATCATTACTATACCATCCCCATTGCTAAAGTATACAAAAAAATCCAAAATGAAGGCCAGTTTACAGATTAACTAATTCAAATCTGGTCCAGTACGAACAGTTAGCATATTATACAATTTTCATAAGACCGTTACAGTTCACCACAAAAGAAGAGAACCAAATGTGATTCCAAGCATCATTTCCTTTGCAAGTTTCTCCATTTATCTTTGAGGTCAACCTGATAAATAACAAAGAACATATATTATAAATTATCCATCAAAATGAATATGTTGACACATCATATAAAGCAGGTGATATACTTACAGCAGTTCTCTCTCTACATATTTCTTGATAGGTTTCCAATATGCGTGTCCACTGGTATCCATACCTGCATTATGAAAATAATCTTAGTGGGAAAGCAATGGTTATAAACTACCAGAACTATCTCTTCTCATACTGGTTAAACAAGTAGTAACAATTACTAAAGCAAAAACCTAGAGCAAATTTAATATGCTAACAGGATTATACACCGAAAATTAAATGCAGAACCTCAGTTATATGTTAACCACTTACTTTCGTACACCCTCTGCCAAAGCATTTTCTTCCTCGTAGGTCCATTTATTTACTTTTCTCCGTCTCATCCACCTTTTAGGTTCGTCTACGTTTAGGAGAGAGATGTGTTCTGTCCTGGGGCTTGGTAAAGTGCATCTATTTGTCCCTTGGGAAGAGTCATCAACTGAATCCTCCAACTACAACAACAATCATAACATAAGACAGATGAAAAACCAAAACATTATATGATTAAATGAACAAATAGGGATTTAACTTAAAGAATGCAAGACAAAATATCAAATGACCATAAAAGTTCATACCAAGATTTCCCAAAGCAATGCCAAGTCCGACAGAGCATAAATAGTAATAACAGTTAAGGATATATATATATACAGAAAAAGAAAACAGCAGGAGATTACGATTAGGATTTAAAGCCTGCAATGCAATGAAAGCAAAAGTTAAAACAATGGAACATGCAATGTAATGCCAGTAATGATAATAATACAAGTATGCGCACACAGACCTCAGTGCGAGCAGTGGCATTCCTGTCCTTGGTGCTTGGCACTTTCTTGGGCCTAGCCCTGCTAAAATCTTCATTCCCCTCCTTAGTTTGAGAGGGTTCTCCCGTATGATTAGCAAATGGAATAAGAGCATTTCCATCTATACTGTCATGGTCTTTTTTGATGGCCTCATTAGGTGCCCCCTGTTCGTTATTTCCATGGCCTTGAGAGCCTTCAGAATGCAATCTTTTAGGTTCTGCCACATATGATATAACATCTTAGAACAAAATATTATACTGCAAATTAAACATATAAATGACATAGCATAATAAAAAATATTAAGACTTTGGAATAAAATCAAAAGATTCCCCTGGCAATCGACTGAAGGCCTCCTCTAAATAAACTCGAACTAGGCGCCGCACTTCATCAGCAGTTTCAATGCGTAATAGCCTCTTAGCGGTCTCTCGATCCCACAGTGCCGCTTCGATATCCTTCCTCCATCTAGCTAAATCAGTTGAAATAAGGCAGGAGGCACCAGACAGCTCCAAATCCCCAATTTCCTTTACCCAAATCCTCCGTACGGCGTCAAAATAGTCATCCCACGACAAGTGTAACCACATCAGCGTACGATGTACAGCAAGGGCGCAAAAAGCTTTCCGCATGGCGTCAGAGGCATGTACGCCCCGTCCGCGGTCGAGTTCATCGACGAGGATCATGGATTCAAGAACCCCATCGTGAAAATAGTAATCCATCCTTTTTTGAATTGATCGGAGAATCAAGGCTTTAGTATGGAGACAAAATTGATCATAGTCATTGTAGTTGCCACCATTGTTTTCGTTTGGCTGAGTGTAGAATTGCTTAAGAATGCGTAGAGCAGAAGTCGAAATATCCTCCATTTTTCCAAAACTTTCCCCTACTAGTATTGCTTGAGAATGGATAGAGCACTTTTATATTGTTAGCAACATCTTAACAATGGATATTATTAATTGTTGTCATTAAAGCCTTCGTATTATCGCTTAAACGATAATCGTTAATAACATCATAGTTTTGAATTTAATAATATTATTATAAGTAATTTTAATCTAATTATAATTTATTTTCACTATTTAATTGGGATTAAAAATTGATTGCTTCTCTAATATAATTATATTTTTAACATTTTATTAACATTAAATTAATGAATGTATAATATGAATGAAAGTCTTCAATCCTATAGTTTGTCTTAATTAAATAAATGTAAATTTTAAAATATTTATGATAAAAACATAATTTTTCTTAATGTTTTTAAAATTTAAAATTTATATTATATTTCTTCAAAAACATTAATTTATATTATATATAAATTGAACTTTTAAAATATTTTAAATTTCTAACCATAAATCATAAACCTTCTATCCTACCTAATAAATCGTAAACTCTAATCTTAAATCATAAACTTTAAACCCTAACATAATTGTCGAAGTCCCTTAGTCTGAACTTAAGCCATATACACCAAACTTTGCTATGAGTCGAAGGACATAAGCCTGAACTAGGGAACTATGAGCCCTACATATTAAACCCTGTAACCTAAATACTAACTCTAAACTCTAAACCTTGGACCTACATCCTAAATGCACAATAAGTGCTAAAACTTAGTCTCTAAATCATAAACCTTAAACCCTAACACTCAATCCTAAACGTTATATTGGACATATGACCCTTAGTCTAAATCTTATACCCTAAATCTTACTTTGGGTCATAAGTCTTAAGTCTGAATCAAGAAACTCTGAACCTCACTCACTAATTCCTAACTCTAAACCTCAAATCTTATAACCTAAAATATAAAGTTTGAGATTTAAGGTTTAGAGTTTAAAAATTAATCGCTTGATAACTTTGTTTGGGGTTGAAAGCTCATAGCTCAAGTTTGGGAACCAGAACCTTGAAAAAGCCAACCTTGGGCTAGAACAAAAAACCATGGATCCTACCCAGTGAACTTTAATTCTAAATCTTAAAACATTAAATCCTAAACTTTAAATTTAATCCTAAACCCTACCTTGAGATGAATGCTTCCTTAAACTTTAATAATGGTATTAAGGTTATTATTATAACTACTTAATATGCAAAGTACATATAATAATTTTAATGATTTAAAATACTTTCCTAATCAGTTAAGAATATACTTTCCTAATCAGTTAAGAAAATATTTTCTGACTTATTGTATAAAATAATATAACCCAATTACATATAATAATTTTAATGATTTAATCAATAAAATATAAAAATTAAGGTTACTATTATAACTACATAATATGCAAAGTACTATAGTTGTAAATAATCCTATAATAATATGAAAATATTAAAAATATTAAAATTAAGAGAATAAAATACATATTTTAAGAAAACAAATAAAAAATGAAGCATTATAATTAATTAAAATAAAAAACGTGGGATTATTTAAATATGGAAAAAATTTGTGGACAAAACTTAGTGAACATGTAAATACATTTTAAAATGAAACATCCATAATTATAGTGTTCCACCTTTCTAATTTTTTATTATTACTTTGTTATTTAATTATTAAATATTTTATTTTATTTAAAACACTAGTATATATTATTAGGATACATATGTGACTAAAATAAAAAGTAATAGATAAATACTAGATTTAAAATATTTAAACATAAAAGGTAATAATAAAAATAAAATAAAGTTGCAATTAAATAATAACCAAAATAATAATATAGGATTAAATTTTAAAAATATAAATTATTGGTCAATATTCAAAATATTATAAAATATATATATTAAAAGTGTAAATAATCCTAAAATATTATTTAAATATATGTAAATATACGGGTAATGACTAAAATAAAAATAAATAAAATGTGAAGACAAAATTAAAAGATATAGAAACCTGATTTTGGTTACTATAATGGAAAATTACAGAATATAGGGACCACAGACAAGGTTAAACCAATCCCGAAATTACACAGACATTCCCTCCCCAAAACGATGTAGTTTTGATTTGGGTATAAATAGGCCAAAATAGGCCTAAAATCCTTAATTCTTCTCATTTGTTCATTTTGTTTCTCTCTCCTTAGAGAGAGAAGCTCTCCCTTCTCTCTAAATTCCCTCACCAGAGGGAGCTCTAGTCACCGACCATCGGCCGGTCACTATTCTAGCCACCGTCGATCACTATTCACCGGTGCCTATTACTTTTCTAGTCACTATTCACGATTGGAAAAAATCAAAATAGCTCAAAATATAGATCAAAACACCCTAAAGCCGAAACCACCCTCCTTTTTTCCTAAAAACTTTTCAATCGGCCTAGATCTGAGATTTTACCTTCGGTTAACGACGGTTTCCGACGACGTTTGAGCTCCTCGGTAAGTCTCCTCTCCTTTCTTCTCCTTTCGGTTTATTTGTTTTTGTTGCTCGTTGGTGTTGCTTGCTCTCTTCCCGTTCTTGCTGTTGTTGTTCTTTTTTTTTGCAGGGAAATCGAGGCTTTTTATAGGCCTCAAAATACTGTTCGTTCGGTGAATCACTGGATCTACGATGTTGACTCACCATATAGCTGATGAAGTGTGCGACTATCCTCGCTTCTTCTGGATCCTTCTGTTGGAGGCGGCAGCGCCGTGGCAACGTCGGAGTGGACCATCTGGAGGCGGCGCCGGAATAGTCCCACCAACCCTAGGATTCTTTCTCGATTGGATTTGGAACGTTAGATCTCTCCAAATCCAACGGTTGTGATCTGTGACGGCTGGAGATGTGTGAAGAAACCCTAATTGGGTTTGGGTCATCTGGGCTTTCTTTGATTATGGGCCTGGCACGGGTCTTAGGCCTTCGGATCTTGGGCCTTCGGGTCTTCATTTGTAACTGGGCTCCGATTTTGTAATATTTGTAATAATAATAATAATAATAATAATTGTAGTATAATAATGATAATAATAATAATAATAATATATTCTCGGAAGAAAATGATTGTGGACACAGTGGAGACGTGAGATAATATTCATTCAAAAATTGACATGAAACCTGCATGAGTTCTACAAGGAACATCAATGATAAAAGTTCACGAAGATAGTAGGTTTTTATTATTGAAGGTGATATTTTGATTGCTAGTAACCTCTTTGGTCGAGAGCTGGACCAATAGAAAACATCTTTTTCATGTCACTACAATCTCCTGGGGCAATATTATTAATTTTTTTTGTCATTACTTCACTAATTAGTTACTGAAGTTCCGTAAAGAAATGCATTTATTTGGCTGAGTGGAACATCTTTTTGCCTTATTATATTGGAGGCATCCCGTTTTCCACTAGTAAAGTTCTTGTCCTCATAAACCTTGAAAGGCCATTCCTTTTGTACCAGAAAATGAAAGATTTGGTTTCTTTGGTGGTTTTACAGACACCAAAGATGAATTCCACGCTGTCTGTTCTTCTGACTTTGATGTATATTCCTTGGTTGATCCGGACCATGATCTTCCAGCGCGCTACCCTCAATGTCTTATGTCAATTTTGGACATCTTGAAGTGAAATCAAGGGGTGTCTTCTTCGCTTTTCTACTTTAGTAATATGCTATATACAGTTAAACACTTCCTTATCGGATGCATCATCTTTCTCTTCTAATTTTGAAAGGTTTCACTGAAGTTGGCCGTCTTTTCTTGGCTTTATTTGGTTTGTGGAAACACATGCATGGAGCACCAAATCATTGAATAAGTCACTACCATATGAACTTTTAACACGACGTATCTACGATCATTTCTGGTATATAAATTTTGGTTGGTGGATTAAAACAGATGCAAAATCTTCATACCTGAAAACAAAAACTTCCAAGGGCACATTTGTAGGACATTTGGTGCCAGGCCCGGCATTTACCCTTCTTGGCCTGTGGCACGCCATCAACAATATTAGAGCCTATTGTCTCAAGGGCTCTACCAAATTTACAGTAAGGTTCTGGTATCCTCTCCATGGCCATGTTTCTAGATTCAAACATTTGGAGCTGATTTTTATATTGGCCTTTTCCCTGTTAGCAATTTTCATGCAAATATTAGACTTACCTTTTATTCGCTTTCCTTTCGAACTCGATGGCCTTGAGTACGCAAGCATATTTGTCCATCTTGCTATATTTGTCTTGCATTCTTTAAGTTAAATCCCTTGGGAAGAGTCATCAACTGAATCCTCCAACTACAACAACAATCATAACATAAGACAGATGAAAAACCAAAAAAAACATTATATGATTAAATGAACAAATAGGGATTTAACTTAAAGAATGCAAGACAAACTATCAAATGACCATAAAAGATCATCCCAAGATTTCACAAAACAATGCCAAGTCAGACAGAGCATAAATAGTAATAACAGTTAAGGATTTATATAGAAAAAGAAAACATAGCAGGAGATTACGATTATGATTTAAAGCATGCAATGCAATGAAAAGTAATAGTTAAAACAATGGAACATGCAATGTAATGCCAGTAATGATAATAATATAAATATGCGCACACAGACCTCAGTGCGAGCAGTGGCATTCCTGTCCTTGGTGCTTGGCACTTTCTTGAGCCTAGCCCTGCTAAAATCTTCATTCCCCTCCTTAGTTTGAGAGGGTTCTCCCGTATGATTAGCAAATGGAATAAGAGCATTTCCATCTATATTGTCATGGTCTTTTTTGATGGCCTCATTAGGTGCCCCCTGTTCGTTATTTCCATGGCCTTGAGAGCCTTCAGAATGAAATCTTTTAGGTTCTGCCACATATGATATAACATCTTAGAACAAAATATTATACTGCAAATTAAACATATAAATGACATAGCATAATAAAAAATATTAAGACTTTGGAATAAAATCAAAAGAAGAAAGGGAAGAGGAACCTACCGTTCCCTTCAGTAGGAGCAGAAGCAGGAGCATAGGCAACACCATCAGCAGTGGTATCCCCTGGCAATTGACTGAAGGCCTCCTCTAAATAAACTCGAACTAGGCGCCGCGCTTCATCAGCAGTTTCAATGCGTAACAGCCTCTTAGCGGTCTCTCGATCCCACAGTTCCGCTTCGGTATCCTTCCTCCATCTAGCTAAATCAGTCGAAAGAAGGCAGGAGGCACCAGACACCTCCAAATCCCCAATTTCCTTTACCCAAATCCTCCGTACGTCGTCAAAATAGTCGTCCCACGAGAAGTGTAACCACCGCAGCGTACGATGTACAGCAAGGGCGCAAAAAGCTTCCCGCATGGCGTCAGAGGCATGAACGCCCCGTCCACGGTCGAGCTCATCGACGAGGATCATGGATTCAAGAACCCCATCGTGAAAATAGTAATCCGTCATCCTTTTTTGAATTGATCGGAGAATCAAGGCTTTAGTATGAGACAAAATTGATCATAGTGGTTGTAGTTGCCGCCATTGTTTCAGTTTGGCTGAGTGTAGAATTGCTTAATAATGCGTAGAGCAGAAGGCGAAATATCCTCCATTTTTTCAAAACTTTCCCCAACTAGTATTGCTTCAGAATGGATAGAGCTCTTTTATATTGTTAGCAACATCTTTACAATGGATATTATTAATTGTTGTCGTTAAAGCCTTCATTTTATAGCTTTAATGATAATCGTTAATAAGATCATAGTTTTGATTTTAATAATATTTTTATAAGTAATTCTAATCTAATTATAATTTTTTTCACTATTTAATTGGGATTAAAAATTGATTGCTTCTCTATTATAATTATATTATAGTTTTAACATTTTATTAACATTAAATTAATGAATGTATAAGTCAATCCTATACTTTGTCTTAATTAAATAAATGTAAATTTTAAACTATTTATGATAAAAACATAATTTTTCTTAATGTTTTTAAAATTTTAAATTTATATTATATTTCTTAAAAAAATAAATTTATATTATATATAAATTGATCTTTTAAAATATTTTAAACCTCTAACCATAAATCATAAACCTTCTATCCTACCTAAAAAATAGTAAACTCTAATCTTAAATCATAAACTTTAAACCCTAACATAATTGTCGAAGTCCCTTAGTCTGAACTTAAGCCATATACACCAAACTTTGCTATGAGTCGAAGGACATAAGCCTGAACTAGGGAACTATGAGCCCTACATACTAAACCCTGTAATCTAAATACTAACTCTAAACTCTAAACCTTGGACATTCATCCTAAATGCACAATAAGTGCTAGAATTTAGTCTCTAAATCATAAACCTTAAACCCTAACACTCAATCCTAAACATTATATTGGACATATGACCCTTAGTCTAAACCTTTTACCCTAAATCTTACCTTGGGTCATAAGTCTTAAGTATGAACCAAGAAACTCTGAACCTCACTCACTAATTCCTAACTCTAAACCTCAAATCTTATAGCCTAAAATATAAAGTTTGAGATTAGCTCAAGTTTGGGAACCAGAACCTTGAAAAACCAGTCTTGGGCTAGAACAAAAAACCATGGATCCTACCCATTGAACTTTAATTCTAAATCTTAAAACTTTAAATCCTAAACTTTAAATTTGATCTTAAACCCTACCTTGAGATGAATGCTTTTGGTGAAAACCTTGAACTTTACTTTGCACTTGAACCAAGAAGTCCTAGACGCTTGATAAACATGCCTAGGGACGAAGGCCTCCACCCGAATTTGAGAATCAAACCCCTGAAAAACCAAAACCGCCCAAACAATAAAACTCTGGACCTACGCACTAAACCATACATATTAGGAGCTAATTTTTGTCATGTCCTTTTTCCTGCTAGGCTGCTAGCAATTTTCATGCAAATATTGGACTTGCCTTTTATTCGCTTTCCTATCGAGCTCGACGGCTTCGAGCACGCAATCATATTAATCCATCATGTTATATTCACTAGTGTAGTCAAGTTATGATGAGGGGTGTGAAATGACACCAATTTTTTTTAAATTTATTTATAAATTTAATATAAAAATGGTTTTAACAAAATAAATTAATATATCTAAAAAAATTAGTACCTTAACCTTAGTGACCGAAAATGCCTTATAATATACGATTTTAACCAACTTTTTTTGGATTTTCCAAAATAACCAATAAATTCGCAACCCAGGTTCCAAATTCGCAACGCGAAAGTCAAATTCGTAACGCGATAATCAAATTCGCAACGCGATAGTCAAATTTGCAATGCGAACTCCAATTTTTCAACTCAGTTTCCAGATTCGCAACACGATTATCAAATTCGCAATGCGATAGTCGAAAATCACAACGCTTGTTCTCTTTCACTCAACAAGGAAGTGGGAAATCCAAGCCTTAAATACCCATTCCCAATAGTGTTTCCAATACTATGTGGGATTGAGTATTACCAACACTTGTTTCCAATGCTAAGTTGAAACATTTAACATTTGGAAGTTGGAACACATTTAACCAAGTGAACATCCTTTCGGTGGCCAAGATAATTAAGTGATATTTGTAATCGAGTTGGGAAAACTTGGTTTGTTTTGCAATATTTAAGTACATTGCCTTCTCAAGCATTGATTAAATGTGTTCCAACTTAATTATCTTGGCCACCGAAAGAATGTTCACTTGGTTAAATGTGTTCCAACTTCCAAATGTTAAATGTTAAATGTTTCAACTTAGCATTGGAAATAAGTGTTGGTAATACTCAATCCCACATAGTATTGGAAACACTATTGAGAATGGGTATTTAAGGCTTGGATTTCCCACTTCCTTGTTGAGTGAAAGAGAACAAGGGGGACTCTCGCGCACCGCCGCCGTCCGTCCCGTCCCGTCTCGTGGTCGTGGTCGTGGTCGTGGTTTGCAGGTTTCACTCTTTCTGCGGAGTTAACTCAATCAACAGAGATTCTATCAGCTTCTTCAGGAATTGTTGTGGCATCTGTCTCTAGTCAGGAGCTTTTCTTCCTCCATTTTCACTATGTCGATCATGTTGGACTTGAAGGCCATTATCACTGGTTCTTGCAGCTCATATTGCTCATCTCCCTACTGGCAGCTACATCAATAATGTTTCTACCAACTAGCTTGCCCGCGGTTCTTGTTCTATCGGTTTTGTTGTATTCCAGGGTTATTGGTTCATGAACATGGGATTTATACTATGGAGTCCTCATTTTGTTCCCTGAGGATGCATAATGCAGTCTGCCGAAAGCGGCGGTGACAACGTGTGTTTATCAAATGAAGCAGATATAAGGGCCAGAGCATTAAGCAACTTGCAATCCAGTTGGATACTCTCTTGAGTCTGGAATTATGATATTCACAGGATTCATCTGCCTAAAATTTACTGGAAAACCACCCTGAGGACACAATCAACCGAATACGAGAAACTTCAAATAAGAGGGAGCGATGTTCCTATAACAATGGATAGCTTAAAGCAAACTGATCCCTAAGAATTAACTTTGATAAACATGTAAGTGTAACATGGACAACAATGGCTGATATTGAACTTAAACACTCATGGATAAGTATATAATGTTGTAGACGGTTTATAAATAAGTCGTATTAGACATCAGTTAAACAAGACATAAAACATTACATTTCTATTATATAAGCCATAGAAACATGTTGCTAACTTGATGTGCTTAGACAAAACAGATAGTTGCAATTAGAAATGACAAGGAACTAAAGAAATTTGTCTATTAATATATTTTATTCGATATAGAGTTTTAAAACAGCAACCCAAAGTGCTAATTTAGTTGGAATTGAAAAACAATTACGTTTTCACATAGCAATCAAAGTGCAAATTCGGTAGAGACATTGATAAAGCAAATCTTGAATTTCTCACTCATGACTCGGCTTCTTCCAAAGACGCTTCGATTCGAAGGAGAACGAATCCCACTGCAAATCCGACGAGAACAAGTCCATTCATGATCGATGTAATCCTGAATATCTCACCAATTGCATTGCAAGTTGAAGAGAGTACACCACCACCACCTCTACCTTTCCCACTTGATGGAGCTTTGAGTGAGCTGATAAAGTTTGCAAAAGATTGTTGAATGCACACTGGTTGGCCAAGTGAGACTACTTTGGTATGAGCTTTCAATCCACCGAAAGAGTTCAACCCTGTTATGAAATTCACATGAACACTACCAGTCTTTCTCCTGGGGTGGCCAATGGTGGTGGCAGCAGCCAACTGTTGAATATTTGGCATGCACCGAAAGTAGCATGCAAATGTTGGAAAAAAAATTAATTAAGCTTCAACTATAAATACCCTAGCTCATTTAGCTTCAAAACCATCTCAAAGCATTCTAGCTTTCTTCCAATACTAGAGAGAATTTAGAGAGTTTCTTGAGAGTTGTTTTCTCCTTTTTATCAAGAGAGAATTATCATTGTTTTCTCCTTGGTCGATCGAGAGAATTTGTAATTCATATTTTCTCATAGTGAAATTCTTCTACCGTTGCCCGTGGTTTTTACCCTATATTATTTAGGAGTTTTTCACGTAAATTTTGAGTCTCTTTTATCTTCATTTTTATTTTCTCAAATTATCAGTTGTGATTTTTCTTTATTGGATAGTCGTCTTCCGCAACAATCGGTGTCCGAGCCAGATTAGAGTGTGTAATATCTGTTTATTATCTTTGTGGTTACCACTAAAAGGTGGATCCTACAACATAAGAAAGTAAGAAGGTATTACCCATTCTTTGAAGGTTCTAGAGAACTATTCACGATAGTGAAATAGTGGGAGCTATCCGTAAAAGAAGCTATGGCAACGAAAATTGATATTGAAAAATTCAATGGGAGAAATTTCTTATTGTGGAAATTGAAGATGAAGGCTATCCTAAGGAAAGACGGTTATCTAGCAGCTATCAGTGAAAGGCCAGTGGATTTCACAGATGACAACAAATTGATTGAGATAGATGTGAATGCTATGGAAAACTTTCATCTAGCATTAGCAGATGAAGTATTGTCAAGCATCGAGGAGAAGAAGACAGCGAATGAGATATGGGATCATCTCACCAAATTGTACGAGGCCACATCGTTGCACAATAAAATTTTCCTTAAGAGGAAATTGTATACTCTCCGTATGCCAGAATCTACTTCAGTGACGGAGCACTTAAACACACCGAACACATTATTTTCTCAGCTTACATCTTTAAGATGTATAATAGGAGAACAAGAACGTGTTGAACTTCTACTTCAAAGTCTACCTGATTCGTATGATCAACTCATCATCAACTTGACAAACAGTAATGTCACCAGTCTAGTCTTTGATGACGTTGCAGCTGCTGTTCTACAAGAAGAAAATCGGTGCAAAAACAAGGAAGACATACAAGCAAATCTGCAACAAGCAGAAGCGTTGACAACGATAAGAGGGAGATCAACGGAACGTGGCCAAAGCAACAGTCACAAACATGGTAGATCAAAGTCAAGAAGCAAGAAGAATTTAAAGTGCTACAACTGTGGAAAGAAGGGTCACTTGAAGAAGGATTGTTGGAGTCTAAATAAAAACTCCAATCTACAAGGAAAAACCGCAAATACTTCAGATGATGGAGATGCTCTATGCTGTGAAGCGTCAACCACCGTTGAAGGTAGAAAGAGATATGCAAATATATGGGTCATTGATTTGGGAGCAACATATCACATGACCTCAAGAAGATAATGGTTACATCATTATTAACCTGTCTTAGGAGGATCTGTGTATAGTTGCAATGATCATGCCTTAGAGATAGTTGGCGTGGGAACCATCAAATTGAAGATGTATGATGGAACGATTAAAGTTGTTCGAGATGTGCGGCACGTGAAAGGCCTGAAGAAAAATTTATTATCCTACGGATTATTGGATAATAATGCAAGCAAGATTGAAACACGGAAAGGAATCATGAAGGTGTTCCGTGGAGCGCTTGTGGTGCTGAAAGATGAAAAGATAGCAGCAAACTTGTACATGTTGAAGGAAGAGACTGTGCTAGAAGTAGAAGCCTTTGTTTCCTCATGTAGTTCAGATTCTACAATGTTATGGCATCAGAAACTTGGATACATGTCAGAACAAGGAATGAAAGTCCTTGTGGAGCAAAAGCTACTTCCAGGCTTAACAAAGGTATCACTGCCTTTGTGTGAGCATTGCATAACAAGTAAGCAGCACCGGTTGAAATTCAACACATCAAATTCTAGAGGCAAAAGTGTTCTAGAATTGGTTCACTCTGACGTATGGCAAGCACCAGTTATATCCCTAGGCGGAGCAAAATACTTTGTCTCATTTATTGATGACTACTCAAGGAGATATTGGGTGTACCCTATTAAGAAGAAGTCAGATGTGTTTTCAACTTTCAAAAACTTCAAAGCGCGGGTGGCCAATGGTATGAGCTATCAATCCACCGAAAGAGTTCAACCCTGTTATGAAATTCACATGAACACTACCAGTCTTTCTCCTGGGGTGGCCAATGGTGGTGGCAACACCAACATGGGTGAAGAGTATGTAGCTGAGGTTGTTGCCATTGCTAGACAGTAAAATGAAAGTTGAAAGACAACAGGAATTGGGTTTGGTTATTGTATGGAGAAGAGATGATGGAAAAGGTGAAGTATTTGGATGAATAGTTGGGAAGAAGATTAGATTAGGGGAGGATTTTGCAGCTCTGGCCACAAGATATTTGAGGCCAATTTCTGTTTACATTAGCCCATTTAATATTGATATATCCTTTTAAATGAACATTTCCTGCTATTGAGCCTTTCAACATGTAACAGCCCAAACTAGAAAAAGCCCTCAAACAATCTCTCCATGGCCCTACTTTCCCTTTTTCTACAGGTAAATATACATTTTTGTTATCTAATTTAACTTCTAAATTTAATTTGATATTTCAATTCATTAAATTAAACGTATTAACTTAATTTTAAGATTCAGTTAGGAACCTATTTTTTATTTAATAAAGTATTTGAACTTTGTTTTTTATTCAAATTGGTAGGGACAAAATCTAGTCACTGTGGATGTGAATGAAAAAATAGATATATAATTAGAAATGTTGTCAAGTTGGAAGAGTACAAATTGCATTATACCTTTAAAAAATTAACAAAAGTCCAAACAATGTTTCGAAGGCCGAGGGGAGTATTGGACGCTAAGCAACATCGGAACCGACTCGCAAGCTGCTCGCGCTTTACTGCAATATGATACTAGAGAATGTTACGGCGCGAGACGGACAAACGTCAACCTAACTCACACCATTTGTCGCAAGCAGAAGACGACGCGAGATATTTCCCCTCGTGCCGCCATTTTTGCTGACCCTCGTAGTCAAATTCATTAAAAGTGTTTTCTTTAATATCTTCTTCAATTTAACAAAAAGTATGCCGATCGAACACAAAAACGGTTTTTTACGTTATTTTTTATCATCTTATCCACAGTACTGACTGAGATATCGGGCAGTTCAGATAATATAGAATGAAATTTCCCAACAAAATAACGTAGCGCGTCTGTTTATGTTTTACGAGGTAGCGATAACAGCAGAGCAATAGCATGAAACCTTGCGAACTAAACCGATCGATCTTGTTTTTCATACGACCAGGATTCGCACTATAAATAGCAATGCTCCTGGTTGTTTCTTCATCTTCATCTTCATCATTCAATACCCAGGCCAAAACAAGAAATCTTCAACTTCTCTACGTCAAATGGCGCTTTTGTGGAAGGTGGTCGACGAAAATGATTCACGACAACTCACGGTTACGGGAAAATTCAGTTCCGAACCATTCCCCAATGCCGAGGCTAGCGGTGTGGCCGTGGTAGATGAATGTAACTCTCCATGGACGTTCAAATACAGGGTTAAGGGAAACAAACGGATCCTGTCGGGTCCCCATTGGGTACAATTCTTCGGATGCAATAACGTTCAAGTTGGTGACCAGGTCGTCATTTACCACAACGACGGGTGGGGGCCTCAAGCAGACTACAAGATCCAAGTCATCAGACGGCCATCTTATTAAACAAATTATGGATCAACTGCATCTGTTATTTCATGTTTGTGTATCGTCTCTGTTACTTCGTGTTCTACTTTCATATTTGAAATATATACTCTTCAGTATGTTGTTATTTGTGTCTTGTAATCAGTCATGAATTATTTATTATCGTTCTTGTTATTTTAAGATGAATACAGCATGTTTCCCCCCTTAAATAGTATTTGATCTAGTTTTTTATACATGTAAATAAGATACATATATAATATACGATTATGATTATAACGTAATGTAATGCTTGTATCATAATAATATATATATGCATGAAGAGTACGTTAAAAACATTCGATTTTGAAGATAGTGGCCTCTGCTCGGATTTAATATTATTGTTTCCTTCTTTGATGGAGCAACAAAATCCGATTATTCACCCTTAGAAATCACATTTCGCTTATTGCAATCAAAATATAATTGGATCGCAGAAAAGAAAGAGAGAATCAAAATCCTTCTTGCAAGTGCAACATCGACTGAATCAAGGTTGAGGTTTCATTACAACGGCGGCGTTTCAAGTCTTGTGAATCCGTTAAAAAACTATTTAATAAATATGTGATCCATGACTTTTGATCATCTTTTTTTATCCACTTGGACTTTTTAGGGAAACAAAGTAAAAAAAAAAATTAAAAAAAATCCCTTTTGTAAAACTTAAAACCAAATATAGAGAAAATTTTGAAATTTGGATCGTTTTTGAGAAATCAAATACTGAATATATCTATTTTTCTAATAAATATAACAAATTTTTCAACAAACAACCTAAAAATCATTACGAAATGAAACGTTAGTCACAAAAAGAAAATGTTTAAAACTTTGAAAATTTTATAATTTAGATACTTATTTTCTATTAAAATTTATACCATAAATGTTATTTAATGATATAAACAAAAGTTAGTTTTACGAGTCATATAACACTAAACTCTTTTTTTATTCATGAAAAATATATAGTTATTGTATTTTTTAAGCTAAGGTGATTCTAAAATAATTTTTATTCTTAACCATTTGATAATAAACACTCGATCATTCCTAATGTAATTATTAGTGCTCAAATTCAAAACTTTCAAAACTAACAATCATTCCTTTAATTACTAAGATAATTTGATTCAAACTATGATTGTTGCATTTGTGAATTCTTTCATTATAAACACGTGTACTATTGACTCTATAAAAGTGAGCGGTATTTATTTATTTTTTACGCCTAAAGATTTTAATTTTAATTTAAGATTTATTATTAAAAAATTAAGAAAGTATTTTTTAATAACATTCAATTAATTAATTTTTAAATATATTTTACAAGTAAGTGCTAACTTTGACGTGGCTGGAGAGGTAGTATGGCAAACATTGGAAATCAACGTGTAGTAGCAAATAAGAATGATTAGAGATGCACATAGTCGGATATAAATTTGATCCGGATCGGATAAAAATCGATTCAGTTTTTTTACTAAGTCAAAAAATCGGTTTATAAAAAAATTGGTTCGGATCATAACCGGTTTGGAGGGCCGGATGATGTAACCGGTGTAACCGGTTTCGGTTTGAAAAAAACCGATTTTTTAAAAAAACCGGTTTTTAATCCGGTAAAAAATTCGGTCATCCAATTTTTTAAACTCCAGACCGGATTTTTAAACCCCAGACCGGATTTTTTTCCGGATAAAAAACTGATTTTTTATCCGGTTTTTTTCAAACCGGTTTTTAATCCGGTAAAAAATCCGGTCGTCTAATTTTTTCTCAAACCGGTTATACTATCCGGTTTTAAAATATCCGATCCGGTTTAAAAAAAACTGGTTTTTTCCAAATCCGGTTTCGGATATTTTTTTCACAAAATTGGATATTCGAATTTTTTACGCATCTCTAAGAATGATCACGTGGTACACATAGCAGATTTCATGGCTGCAATTTTACTAAATACAACACCTGGACTATACACATCCACTGCATCAATGGGACACATACTAGGCTATGTCGTTTCCGCTTAGTGCTCCTGTAATAACTCTATACCAGAACCTTACTGTAAATTTGGTAGAGCCCTTAAACACTCCTGAATAAATGTAATGTGTTATAGATATATTATAAATACGATACCCTCACAGTAGCCACATAAAACACCAGTTACATAACATATAAAGCATGACATTTCCATTGTAGAAACCTAGAAAAACATGTGGCTAATTTGCTGTGTTTTGACAAAGCAATTAGTTGCAGTTAGCAATGACAAGGAATTAAAGAAATTTGTCAAAAACCCATGATGGTGTTAGGTGCTTTTACATTGGAACCACTATCTCAATGTCATCACTCTCAACAAAACCAAACCATTCTTAAGTGGGAATTTTACAACTAAAGGTAAATGCTATGTCGGCTAAAAAGTATACAAAAAGAAAGAAAAAAACCCCAAAAGGATCCAAGCATCACTTTCTTTGCAAGTTTCTCCATTTATCTTTGAGATCAACCTGATATATAACGAAAACATATATTATAAATTATCCATCAAAATGAAAAAGTTGACACGTCATATAAAGCATGTGAAATACTTACCGCAGTTCTATCTCTAGATATTTCCTGATAGGTTTCCAATATGCGTGTCCACCGGTATCCATACCTGCATTATGAATAGTGGGAAAGCAATGGTTATAAAACTACCAGAACTATCTCATCTCATATTGGCTAAACAAAGTAACTACTACTAAAGCAGAACCCTAGAGAAAATTTAATATGATAACAGGATTATACACCGAAAATTAAGTGCAGAACCTCAGATATATGTTAACCACTTACTTTCGTACACCCTCTGCCAAAGCATTTTCTTCCTCATTGGTCCATTTATTTATTTTTCTCCTTCTCATCCACCTTTTAGGTTCGTCTATGTTTAGGAGAGAGACGTGCTCTGTTCTGGGGATTGGTAAAGTGCATCTATTTGTCCCTTGGGAAGAGTCATCAACTGAATTCTCCAACTACAACAACAATCAAAACATAAGACAGATGAAAAAAATAAAACATTATATGAATAAATGAACAAATAGGGATTTAACTTAAAGAATGCAAGACAAAATATCAAATGACCATAAAAGTTCATACCAAGATTTCCCAAAGCAATGCCAAGTCCGACAGAGCATAAATAGTAATAACAGTTAAGGATATATATATATACAGAAAAAGAAAACAGCAGGAGATTACGATTATGATTTAAAGCATGCAATGCAATGAAAAGCAATAGGTATAACAATGAAACATGCAATGTAATGGCAGTAATGATAATAATACAAAATATGTGCACACACACCTCGGTGCGAGCAGTGTCATTCCTGTCCTTTAATTCAGTCCTTGGCACATTCTTGAGCCTACTAAAATCTTCATTCCCCTCCTTAGTTTGAGAGGGTACTTCAGTATGATTAGCAAATGGAATAATAACATTTCCATCTATCCTGTCATGGTTAGAGTAAACTATAGAATATGTCGCTTCGTTTAGATATTATAAACTTCTCTCCATTGAAATAAAAAAAATAATATTTGG